AAAGTTGTATTGAGAAAGAATAAATTAGTTTTATTTAAGAAAGGACTTATATCGCTAAAGTTTCTTCAGAAAGAATTTTTACGGAAAATTAACAAACGAACAGAGGCGTAACAATACAAACAAACAATTGAGTATTTGTTAATAATTGTTTTATTGGTGGCAGCACTGTGTAAGGAGAGAGTTTCTAAATGTTGTTTGTTGTTATTTTAACTTATTTTGACATGTGTAAAAGTGATGTTTTATTCATCCATTCATTTCGATTAACAAAGAATTTTTACATATTTTAGTGTATGTTGTAGAAATAACATACACTTTTATAGGTAAGATATTGTGATTTCTCCAATTTATTCTGGGTATGAAGGACAAAGCTTAACTACTAATTTAAGTTTTAATGTAACCGTTACTTAAGTAACGAACTTAGCGACGTTAGCCAACAAATTGAATAGCTCAATCAACAATCAAATTCATCTTCTGTTCAACGTTATAGACAGTTTTAACTTTTATCGAATATTTTCACTTGTGCTGAGTGTTGAAATTGATATTCTGACAAGCCGGTTTACTACATCTAAGATTCTAAAGAGCTTAGCGCAATAGTAGACCCATAGCGTTAGAATTAAATTATTAATAGGAATATGATATCTAAAAAAGAAAGCCAACATGGATTCACCAAAACAAAGTCTTGATTTACTAATAAGTTATACTTTTTTTCTCTCCTTTTTGATGATGTTGCTTGTTATCTGGACAGTGGAACTGGTGTACATAGATTTTTTTTACAAAGGATTTTGATAAGATACCACACAAATGATTAGCTAATATAAGTGCATCAGTGAAGGTTGGGGAAAGAATATGTTGTAGTGATATCTGTTGTGTGATGCACTTTTTTGTATTATTCAGTAAAAATAATAATAGAAATTCCAGTCCACTGAATGACAGCAAAAACCTATTTTTTCAACTATAAAGTGTAAGTTATCTTAACTACTGTTTTCTGATAGGTATAAGCTCATAGTAGCAGCTAATACAACAGTTTCAATTACTTGCCAATTTTTCTTATATGTTTGACACTTTCTCATATATGTAGCACTTAGCTGAAATGCAAACTCATCTCATTATTCACAAAAAAGGAGATAGAACAAATGTGAACTTTATTTGGTGTAAACTCTTTTTTGTATAGTTTTGTTAAAATTAATAACTCAGCTAATATAAATTATAATGCAAATATTCGTAACATTTAAAGAGAAAATGTTTTGTTGCTAATTGCCTGTCATGACTTCTCACTTTGAGCACCTGTGCTGAGTGTCAGGAATATTGGTAATATCTTCTCATGTAAATGCAAAAGAGAACACTTAAAAGCTCAGCTGTCTCATAATATTCAACAATAACCTTGCCATCAGTATCCTTTAAGGACCCAATCCACATTCTAAAATTTTGCTAAACCATTACTATTCTTAAAAAATTCCTAGTTGTTAACTTTAACATTGTTATCTAGTTGTTGCTTGATGGATTTCCTCAGAGTTATGGAAGTTTTGAAAGTAACTTTTTGTCCAGGGGAGGAAATGTTAGAGATGTCTGCTTGTCCATTTTAAAATTCTACTTGCCTCCTTGTTGTTCTACAAAACACAGAAAAAAATGTAAAATATAACATTTAGGATTTTGCTTTTATTTCACAGAAAACACAAAGTATACAATGGCATTGACAGCCAAGTTTTGTCAGGAATGGCATGTTTAGTAATAAGGATTTAACAGTGCAGTGTGTAGAATGCACCACACATGAACTGATAAAAAAGTAAATTCTTTTCCTTAATGGTACCATTAACTAAAATAATGTTTAAGATATATAGCTTTTTGTAATTGGAAATGGCTGCAGGATTCCAAAAGGAACTCAAGAGATACAAAGTAGCTAGGAAGTTAGAAACAGTACTATTAGGACTAGAAGTAGTAGGTTTAATTCTAATGATCAGTTTCTGTTTAGTAAAACATTGCAGTCTTTAGCTTGTGCAGATGAGGAACTATGGAAGGAAAGAAAAACAAAAAGGACAGCTATGGATGTAAATGAAACACTTGAGGTTATAGTTATAGGTGATTATTTGTTTTATATATAGGATAGTCTGTGGGGTAAGTAGGGAGAAAACAATTACGTTTAGATTATGCTATCAAGGAGCTGGAGTAGAGGACCTAACTGATAGAGCAGGTGATATAGTAAAGGGTACTAGCAGTGATGTAGTATTTGTTCTGCACATTGGTGCTAATGATCCTGGGAAGGGTAAGTCAGAGGAGCTAAGTGATAAGTACTAGGTTGGTAAAAGCATTTAACCCTCTAAGCACGGTCAGGTCAAAGCGTGCATGTCATGAACTTTTAGAGAACTACATTAAAAATCTCAAACAAGAAAACTTAAAGAAAGAAGAAAACTTTGGCATTATTAATACTGAAAGTTTTTGTAATAACGAAGATTGAGGAGGTTTTGATTACTTAGCAGACTTGATGTTAATAATCTGTTAGAGAAGTAAAAGTTTTGTTTATTTTTTGTTAAGGTAACTGCAAACTTCAGATAAGGATCCATGTACAGGGATACAAGAGGTCACATGCTAATGATAAAGACAAAAGACAAGCCTCTTATTGAGGATCAGAATGAAATGGTGGATATCAAGTTGCTGAAAAATGGGAAGTAACTATGAATACATCATCCAGTGGTAAGTGTAAAGTTTTATAGCTTAAACCTGTTGCTTGCTACAGTTTTTTTAAATGGCCACAACAGGGTGCTATTGCAATGCTGGCTTACTGTATATAGCTGTATGAGTATCACACATATCAAATATGTGTGCATAAACATCATGCATCTTTATTTCAAACACAAAGACATGATTACTGTCCTATACAATGTATTTTCAAACTACATGTGAATGTTTTATTTCATTTATATGAATTACCTGTAAAATAAAAAGGTATTCAATCAAATGTAAACTAGTAGTTATGTGACTCATTAGGAAATTAGTATTATTGAAGAGTAACGTGTTCTAAACCTTTGAAGATCTAAATCTACCCTTCTTTATAGCCTTAACTGTTTTAGGTTATTATCACTGACCAATTTTATTGTCAAGCACAATACAGTATTAACTTTCATTTCTACTATAACGTGTAAAGTTTATATACATATGAAAAAGGTTCATAAATTTTTTAGCACAATTAAAGTTTTTTTCTCCTCAGTGTGTGTCCTCTGATGTTTTTTAAGGTAAACATTTCTTCCAAATCCTTTGCCACATACTACACAACTGTATGGTTTCTCTCCAGAATGTACTCTCACATGATCTTTTAGGTCACTACTCCTTCTAAATCCTTTGCCACACACAACACAAATGTATGGTTTCTCCCCAGTATGTATTCTCTCATGTATTTTTAGGTCACTATTTCTTCCATATTGATTACCACAAACAACACAAGTGAAATTTTTTTCTCCAGTATGTATCCTCTCATGTTTTTTTAGCAAACTACTACAGCTAAAATATTTGCCACAAGCTACACAGTTGTATGGTTTCTCCCCAGTGTGAATAGTTTGATGTACTTTTAAGTGACTATTTCTTCCAAATCCTTTGCCACACATTACACAATGGTACGGTTTCTCTCCAGAATGTATTCTTAGATGTATCTTTAATTGACTATTTGTACCAAATTTTTTACCACATACTATACAATTGTATGGTTTCTCCCCAGAGTGTATCTTTTCATGTTTTTTAGTGTACTACTACTTCTATAGCCTTTGCCACAAACTACACAAATGTATGGTTTCTCCCCCGTGTGAATTTTTTGGTGTATTGTAAGCTGATTATTTGTAGCAAATTTTTTGTCACACACTATACAGCTGTATGGTTTCTCTCCAGTGTGCAACCTCTCATGTTTTATAAGGTCACTATTTTGTTTAAATTCTTTGCCACATACAACACAAAAATACGGTTTCTCTCCAGTGTGTATCTTCTTATGAATATTTAGGTTACTGCCACTTTCAAATCCTTTGCCACACACAATACACCTGTAGGGTTTCTCCCCAGTGTGTAACACTTCATGTTTTTTAAGGTGGTCCTTTTTAGCAAATCCTCTACCACATACTGCACAACTATATGGTTTTTCTCCAGTGTGCATCCTCTGATGTTCCTTTAGATGACCATTTTTGGCAAATGTTTTGCCACAAACTTCACATCTATGTGGTTTCTCACCAGTATGCACCCTCTGATGCTCCTTTAGATTAAAACTTTTAGCAAATATTTTGACACAAACTCCACACCTATATGGTTTCTCACCAGTGTGCACCTTCTCATGCAATTCAAATTTACCTTTATTGCCAAATGTTTTGCCACATGAAACACACATGTATGGATTATCTCCAATGTGGGAAACCTGACATTTTTTTAAGATACTTTCCATTGAACATTTGTTGCCAAGCACATCATCACTGTTTGGTTGCTGAGAATTTCTGTTTCTGAAACTGGATGTTTCTTGTAATAAAATACAATCAGAGAACTTTCTTTCACAATGGTTGTTCACATAAGTCTTTCGATCTACAATAAAAATATAAGGCATATAACTATAGCAATAAATGAAAACAAACAAATTTCTTACCTTCCTAAGTACAGTTTGTAATTTTGTATTGAACAAAATAAACTCCCAAATACATAATGAAATGCATTATTTTGATAAGCCTTCTTAAATGTTCTCATGAAAAAGGCAGAAAAAAACAGCAGACTAAATAAACAGATAGATCAACAGTAACAGATTTCTAGATTTTACCTCAAAGCACTTTTGTGTCAATAAACTTGGAGAGAAGTTTGTAAAATAAGGAATGTAATACCTCAAAACAATAAATTATGTCACATGAAAATTTTTTAATTCAGTGGCTACCAAAAATAGCTCATCAGATGAACGGTGATACCTAACATACAGCAATCTAACATTTTAGCAAAAGTAAAAACAAAGGAATTCATCACCAGCTGTATCCAAATAATATACATCTTTAATAAACAAAATAAAACCTTGCATGATGGTTTGGCAAACTTGAGTATAAGATAAGATTTACATATAAACCTATACTAAAAACGTTCATAAAATTGAAAATCCTATTAGGAAAGAACTATACTGGGGGAAACATGCAAATTAAATGTTACAGTAATGTAAGAAAGCACACAAATGTAACACCCTTATTTAAAACATGGAAATGTTGAATGATGGTCATGCCTGGGATATCCACAAAGCAATTAAATGTGATGAATCACTAATTATGTTATATGAAACCAAGCCAACATCAGACATTATAAAAAAGGAAGTAAAAAAACCATGAACACATTGGAATTAACAAAACTCAGGGATGCTGTAACATCCAACCACTCTGGTTTCATAAAATTATCATATACATGTATATTAACTACTACTAATAAACCTTCATCCTAGGGTGCACTTTACATTCCAGCTGATCTAATGTTTTGAAATTTTTAATTCTAATATTTTCTGGTAATTTATTTTTAGTTTAAAGAACCTGAGTGTGATTTATGTTATCATTAAATACTGAAATAGAACTGACTTAACAGCTCTTGTTATACTACCCTGACAATTTCCAGCAATGTCTTAGTATTGTAGAAGCTTCACAATCAACTATGTTTCTTATAATGTTTATATCTACCATATTATCTATTTTAAATTTAAATGTGTTATTTTGCAGACATAGTATGAAGGTACTGCTTACGTAAGCAGTGTTTTTAAAATTATTAATTAGTAAAATGCCAATAAGTAAACACATTTTTAAAAAGTGTCTGATACATAAGAGGTGAAACACATAAACATACTCTTTATTGGTCTACATTATGTATCTATTGCAAAAAGCTGTATTTCTAATTTTGTCTTTAAAAGAAAATCAGCTTTTTTTCTCAAAAAATGCTATGTAATCAAAAGTAATTCATGAAATAAAACCATTATATATTTCAAATTTTACTATATTAAGTATTTGTACAAAATGCTTTACATTTATAGGCATTTTTAGTAATCTAGCATTTCCATCTATGTCACTGGCAGCTAAATTTATATCAGGAATAGCATACACCACATTTTGCATCTAAGCTCCTCATAAATATATTTGCGTTCATGTATCTTATGATTTTTAACATTTAGTCATTAGAACTTTACAGTGCAGCATGTAGAATACCCCATGCATAAACTGATAAAGAAATCATGATTTACATTAATGCTGCCATGCATTTAAAATGGTCTTTAATACACACAAATATATATACCTGTTTAAAGCTTTTTGCAATATGTATTATGTTATATATATATTCTTCCTAAAGCTGGCTTATATGTAAAATACTGTATATCCAACTTAACTGGGTTTCTACTACAAACAAAAGCAATGTAATAATATCATTGCATTAATATACATATATGTTTATAACTCTGTGTGTGTACAGTTGAGGATGTGTGAGTTAAAGTTATATTGCATATTTGTTTATATAGTTTTGGTTAAGGTTTGAAGCTTAGAGGTAGGTATTTTTAAATGTGTGTGTGTGGTGCTAAACTTTCACAATTCAGAATCTTCAAGGACTTCCTTGGCTAGCTAGAAATCTATTTGAAGTGTTTTTCTACCAATAGAACAAGCAATATGAAAACAAAAATACTTGCCAAATGACCAAAGGAAAACAGTAAAACTTGATGTCCCTCAGACAAATCTTATTGTCCTTGGCAGTGGATGATATGCATTCCACACCCCTAAGTGACACTTTAAATAGTATGCAAGTTTTCATTAATTCATCACCAACTTTGTTTTCAACATTAAAAGGGATGACACAGATACTTGTACAAACTGGTATGATCTTGAAGTTTTCTTGTCTATATGTGTTATATGGAACAGCCAATGACATATGCAGCTTTGGATTTATGGTATACCACACTTGTAGCCATTGTCTGTTTTGAAAGTGTAGTATAGGAATATATAATAATTTTTGCTGTCCTTGTCTGGAATGAACATGTTTAGAAAAACACCCAGTAAAGATAAATAGAAACTAAGAAGTCTACCACTTTACCTGTATAAACATAAACCTGATTATGAATAAATATTTGTTTATTTGTTCACTTGTATTTGTCTTTTGCTTGTGCTGTATTTGATTCATTCTGTAAATAACATTTCAAGAATCTGTACTTACCAGATGTATTTCCTATCCCTGATTCAAGTTGTAGGAACTCTTCTTGAAATTCATTTTCTCTTTTTACACTCAAAGCATAATGTTTGGAATACTCTTGATCATTATCATCATCACTCTCACTGAACTTGGAAATAATGCCAACTTTTAAATCAGCATGTTTCTCAGTTATTATTCCAACAAATGTGTTCTGGACAAATAATAAAGTGTCAAAATAAACAACAACCAGTATTATCATTAAAATGTACATCTCAATAGTGCACTAATTTTAAAGTATGCTGAATCACAAGTGACATTTATTTTATGGAATAATTTTTAACAAATTTCCTCAGCTAGGTTACATCATGGCAAAAAATTACTTCAAGAAAAAACAAGTAGTTCAAAAAACTTCTATATTATAAAGTTTATTTGATAATATATCAATTGTAGTAGTAATCATTTTAAGTAAAATTAATATTAGTTAGGTTTATATGACAGAAAATACAAAAGTGACACAAAAATCCAATTTGCACTTTCTTTAAACATATTTTGAAAAATGAATTACTCACATACTAATTTTGGTTTAACATGTACAATAATCTAAGTAAATAATATTCTTAAAAGGTTATTTGTTTTAAATTTTGAATTAACATACAATGAAATTAAATACTTCAAGAAACAGCATTTTAATGGAAAACATTTTAAAAATAAATAATTGAGCATTACAATGGCACTAACAATTTAATAACCATGACACACAATTTTTTAATATAAACGAATGCTTACATTTCAGTTTTCTAAGACTCAAGATTTCATTATTAACTTTTCATCTTGGTTATTTAACAAGTTAACTACATTTCAGAGATTCTTGTTAAACATTATGAAATGTTAAAACTGATTCTTATGTATTTCATGTTTGTAGGCTTATAGAGGTTTTAAAATATTTTCCCATCATAAGAAGACAAGTTTAATTTTCATACATTAGTATTAAAAAGTTTTTAAAGACAGAGAAACAATTTTTTTTCTTTTGGTTCTTCTAATAACTAGTTTTTTCCACAATATGTTTGACTTATGTGTCTTCCAGTGTAAAATCCCTGAAGTGTCTTCCAGCTATAATACATTTACTTTCATAAATGATTCACACACAATATACACTCTCAAAATAATTGGGAAGAAACAGTTTTTCTTAAATATAATGTTTGGTCACTTGTTTCAAAGCCTACTTGCTACAAAAACAAAACAAGCAGACATTTTCAAGAAATGTTTGTCTTCATCAGCACACATCCAAGGAAATCTTTTATACATAGCTGATAATGAAAAAGTAATATACAATACTGTCTAAATTTTTTTTAGCTTTAGAATTTGTCATTCTCAAAACACTGTGAAAAAAAATCAAAAAACATGAAGAAAATTATTTCTTAATTCTAGCTGTAGATCAGAAACACCTATGACAATGTTTTTCCATTTCACAGCATGCTTTTACAAAAATAATCGATCAAGTAAACTATATGAGGACTGCTGTTTATGATTTGTACATAAACACTAAAATCAAAAAATCATCATGCATTCACATAAATTCAACATTATGGCTAAAATAGCCAAAAATCTATCTTTTGGTTTACAGCTGAAGTGCTGTTTGTTTTTATTTGTTGCACTGCCCTGTGAGCTGTGACAATAGACACTATCAGCAGTGACTATACAACAAACAAGTATAATTCAGTAAAATATTATAATTCATTTGTGATATTGTTACATACAATCTTGATAAATATGTTAAATTGCATAGTTTGACCCTGTAACCTACTGAAAACCAAATGCTAAAAGGCACATTTTTTTTCCTTTCAAATGACCAACTATTTTATGCCAAGTTTTATGACTGTACTTTAAGTAATTTTGAAGCTACAACTGTGAGAAGAAAGTTTAACTAATTGAACCAACCAACCAATGTAACTATCCAACAAAAATTAATGATCCACACATCACCTTAGTTGTCTTTGTTACTCCATCATGGTTCTCTTCTTGCTCCTGTTTTTCTACTTTGAAATCAAAAATGGAACATGAAGATCCTTCTTCTGTTCCTAAAGATACAAATTATTTTGTCATTAATGAACTTAAATATGATTTATTTTTCTTGGCTCTTATTGCTCACTGCACTTAATACCAGCAGCAACCTATGATATCTAAAGTTAAAACACAGCCTGTATGATTTGCCTTTACATCCTGAAAATGTTTTGATAAAATATGTCTAGTTATTGTGATAAAAGGTTATGTGAATATATAAATATATGTTCAAAGGCTTGGCATATACATTTATGACATAGCTAAAACATGGTAGTATTTCCAAAGAATATTGACTTCAGAGGAGTGCTACTAGAATGAATCTAGGGGTGGAAGAGTTAACCCATTACTTGCGGCAGGAGCAGCTCAGTTGCTGTTTTCTGACTCACAGATAAAACTGAGTTGCCATCAATCACAATAAAACAGTAATTTTCATCATTCGCATAGAGTTATAGTTATATATGTGCGACTGACGGATATTTCTGTCATTCGCAGCTTAGCCATAGAACTTCAGTGACGGAAATATCTGTCATCTGCAGTTAATGGGTTAAGATAGTTTTATATTTATAACATAGTGACTTACTTATTAAATGAGATGCTGTCAGTAGTACTGGAGGGCCAGGCCAGTAGTTTACAGGAGCTTAAAAGGGGAATTGACGATTTCCTGAATAATAAAGGATGAATTAAAATTTTTACTTTTCTTAGGGATGGGTGTGCAGGAACAGCTTTAAAGGATTGAATGGTCCCTTACTGCCCATAGGTTATGTTATTTTGTAAGAAATAAGAAGTATCCAAAGAATTTTAACATGGCTTTTGAAAAACAGCAACATTTGAGAAAGAAAACGTTAAAAAGTTAACATTTTCCTAAACTGAAAATTTATTTCTGATAGATATGTATTTCCTCTCACAAAAAGCTTTCTCAATTAATACTGCCCTTTCTCGGCACAAATGTTTCACTCACCGCTAGCCTTGTAACTCCCACTTCTTTCTCCATATCTACATGCAAGTGATCATGCATAACTGATGAGCAAGAGGCCCCTGTACGGGATAAGAAACTGAGTACTTACCAGTCGCAAAGAAACCCATGCAGCATGAAACAGCCACGTGATGTGGATCATGAGATGCAAAAATATGCGGGATAGTCCACATACCCGCGCTGATGATGTCCTCCAAAGGAAGACGGAAATAGGTAACAATCTGTCCAACTCAAGCTGAGAGCACCCACCACATCTGCCTACAGATGAGGAACAGGTGACCAAAAATAGGGAATTTGTATTTTAAGAGGAGATACAAATGTGTCCAAATCAGGGACATCCCAACATGCATACAACTCCTAAAAAAATGATAGGATCCAAAGAACACTCCATCAGTAGAATCTTGTTGGTTAAGGATAACTGAATTGCGATCAGATTCAGGGCACCTGGAATATGACACACCAGCAAAGTAATTTGATTACTGTGGGCCCAATAAAGAAGATCCACAGTTGCAAAACAAAGGTCTCTCGACCGGATGCCTTCTTGCCTTGTGATATAGGACACCACTGTCGAATTGTCTGAGTGGATCCTCACCATCTGTCCCCAAAGATACAGCAGGAAATGAAGGACAGCATTCTGAACAGCATGAAGCTCCAAGATATAGATATGGAAAGCAGATTTGGTAAAAGTCCACCATTCCAAAACCTTCTGATAGTTGAGATACGCTCGCCAACTGGAAAGGGAGGCATCTATAAAAAGGTGACAATCCAGACAAGTTGGAGGAAGAGGAACCCCACAGTAGTATTGGTCCGATCCAGCCACCAGGCAAAGTCTGTCAATAATGGAGAGGGAAGTATTAGAAAAGCATCCAAGGGATCCTGAACAAAGCTTCATTGGTCAATTAAAGCCCACTGAAGATGGTGCATGTGGGCCTGACCCAGAAGAATGAAGGCTTCGAGAGAAGCCCACATCCTTAAAAGAGATAGAACCTCCAGTGCAGTAGGAGAGGGTCAGGAAGAGACTAATGAGAAGCCAGCATTAGGGTCCAAACCTTACAAAGGAATAAGAGATTCCAAACACTGGGAGTCTAAATATGGGTAGTTGGCAAGATGAAAAACAAAAGCATGATTTTCCAATGTATGAAGGGGATGAAGCATATTCATCCCTGAGTGCAACTCTTCCCAAAACAGGATGATGTCTAAAGACTGCAAATATCCAGTGGAGGAGAGAAAACCAGATATTGATCAAAAGATTTGTCCCCAAGGAGGGCATGGGTAGAACCACAGGAAATGGGAGTCAAAGACGAAATGAAACAAACCTGATTAATCAAGTCAATGAAGTGAGAAGGAGGCCTGGGCAAGTTCCCCCAATATGACATGCAACTGAGAAGCATATTTAGGAGAGGGGGGGGAGGCTGTTCAAATTCTCATCCTCTCTGTCAGACACAACAGGCACTGGTATGACAGGATACTCCAGGTGGTGGTGAATGTTGCATGAAATTAGACAATTCTCTACAGATCATAGTAACCACATCATTGACCAATAACTTTGGCACCGACCCAAAAAGACATGGTCAGTAAATCCGCAGATTCAGTGATACCAGTGGTAGTTGCAAATACTTGAAACTGTGAGTGCATACTTACAAAGTATAAACTTGTACAAGTTGAACAAAAAAGTATCGAAAAAATACACTAAATGAAAATATAGCACAAAAACAGACATGTCTTAACAATAAGGCAGCAAATTGAGAAGTGATTAACAGGTACATTATTAAAGAGTGTATTAGTTATGATAGGGGTAGTGTCACACTCATATTGGTGGAGGGTTTCTGCATGATCATTTGCATGTAAATATACAGAAAGAAGTGGGAGTTACAAGACTAGTGGTGAACGAAAAATATGCACCGACAGAGCACAGTACTAATTGAGAAAGCTTTTTGTGAGAGGAGGTAAGATTTCGTATCATCAGGGGCGGATTGGGATGGCTAAGCGGCCCGGGATAGGGATCACAGTGGCCCTGGACAGGTTTTCTGTTAAACTTTTATCCGATGATTTACCGCTCTCAAAACTCACGTGACGTCCCTGTTCCGCATTGTTATGTTTCTGCT